AATCTTAGATATTACAAAAAAGAAACATAAACACCATTAATAACAATCAAAATAAAATAAAAATATGAAATGCAATCTTAATTTGTTTAATTATAATTTACTTTATTGCAAAATTATCTCTTTGATGTGTGTATGTTCTTTTTTTTTCATTTTGACGAGTATTATTAAGATAAAGACATTGTGGATGTTCTTTCCGTCATTAAAATTATATATATAACAACACAGAGGAAAACGTTGTAATTACTACCTGCGCGTTAATTCATTGAGTATGTTGATACCAATGTGTGTTATGTGATGCGAGAGGTGTGTTGTTAAGCATACATACATCTGCATGGCTATGTCTTGTGATGTTATATATAATGTATTTAAGTGGATATACCAATTGAAATTGTAGATACATTTTTCGAGCACCTGTTGTAGAGGCCAAGTGTCAACGACTATTAATAATTAATCTTGATTGAAATGAACGAGTTTTAAATTTGAAATGTGCATGACATTCTATAGCTACGATGTACGTGTTGACAGATTAACTACACATCACAGACTAGAGACAAGCCTGGGGCTCTTATATCTTATCTGACATAAGAAGTGTTCAATAGGTGATCAACGTCACATTTACCATTATACAATATATCGCCCAAGGGAGAATATCAAACATACATCTACAAGTTTATCGGCATAATCCATACATTCCCAGAATGTGTTCTGTAGAAATTTTGACATCATCTTAAAAATCCCGTAGATATGATTGAAAACTTTCTTGAAGGTCATGTTTGCCGTCCGTTGAAGTTACAAATAAAAAGATGGTAACATCAATTGTCATTATGATATAGTGTATGGATTTACACTGCATTGATCTTGAAATGTCCTTCGGTGTGGAAATAAGATAATAAGCTCATATATCTATGCGTATATCCTCATAATCAGATCCGGATTGATGAGTTATGGCAAGAACCTGCCTCGGTAATATTGAAGAAACGATGGAATGAAAAAAAAGAAAAGAATTCGTACATTTTAGTATATGAAATATCTTTGATAAATTGTATTCACAAAAAGACGTGAAATGTGCTAATGTATTCGTAGAAATAACAATAGCACGCGATGATTAATGCAAGCTTCTCAGATAAAAGACTTGATTTTGGCGACAAATGTTTTCCACCTTGAAGGAGCTGGCGCCTAGACACAAACCATGCAACTTGTATAACACGTACATTAAGTCACATGATCAGGGGTCACAAAGTTTGGTACACATCTTTGTTATAACTTTGTAACTTTATATTTAACTTGCAATAATATTTCAGTGATGACGTGTTTACTTTTTTAAGAATTGATAATATACATTAATTACGCATTTTAAAACTGACTTAAACTATACCGTATCGATGATAGATTTCATCTTTAAAAGCACGACTTTTTGGAATTCTCTCTGTTTTCTTATGGATGAAAGAATAGGAGAGTTCCTTTCACGCCTAATTTGAAAGTCGTACATATATCTTTTGGTGTGCGTTGATAGGTAATTAAGAGTCGACGAAGTAATGAGCTCAGGTGTGGAACTGGGAATTAAACCTACAGAAGGTGTTACAATTAGCGAAATGAACTGGCGATGCCACGGACACAAGGTTTAAGTCGTAATTCATCTTTAATTTATTTTTACATTTTTGTTCAAAACATAACACATAATTTCTGGTCATGAGACGCTCGTATTATTAATGGTTGAAATGTTTCCTGCTTTTCTGGCAACTGTTTCTAAAAAGCGTAGCCTAGGTGAGATAGAAACAAGTCCTCGTGACACGGTTAAGATATTCACGGGCAGAAAAAGGTTAGAAGCTATGTAACACATTGCACATTGATCTATTGAGATGTTGATGAATGAATTTTGATGGAACTGACTACAGCATGATAATGCAGTTTTGTTATATAAGTTTGTGAATATAGCAATCATACAGTACATTAGGGGCGTTATTGATAGAGCATTACAGTCCACTACAATACTTCAACCGATATCATAGGGGGTCCGCAAAGTGAGCATCGAGGTCGACGGAACATGATTTACATACAAATTTGTACATTAATATGTCTTGTCAACTTTGTTGTTGTTATTGCCTTTTTCATGTGTATTTTCTCCTGCGTAAAATAGTATGTATAAATCGATTAAGAGATCTTAAATCACCCGGGTTATCGATTTCTCGGATCAATGATTATCAGTTATGTGAAACTTCAAGGATATTGATTTCATGAAAATCATTAAATACAACTTACCTTTGAATAGTTTGCTAAATATATATGTATGTAGATTACACGTGCATGTCATTAATAACAAATATTAAATCATCTAAACAGTGACACTTGCATGTTGATTGATCAAAATATTCCCATCAGTAATGACAGGATCCTATGGGGCCACCTCAGGTAAATTGTATACCTGTTGTAGGTTTAAAGCACTATACAGATTGCATACCAGTGGATATATATGACACTGCTGTAGAACAGTGATTTTGTAAGTGTAATCGAGTTTACTGAAATAATTATCGTGTTCGTTAGTTTTGTTTCAGAAAACAATGATAAAAATCATGAAGTATTTCTTACGATTTATCAACACCAAATACATTTATTCTTTGAAATAGATTCATCAACTATTCAAAAGATGATGTCCACACAGGCCTTGTGCCTTATCCCTCGGGACACAGGTCAGATGATATAAACATGTAGGATGTACAGTCATCAATCACATGAAAATATATATCACTACAAATAAGGTATACAACGCTACGGGAAAGAGCGCTTCAAGGCTACATCTATCACAATACAGGCCATGAACCATTTACACAAACCAACAGCCATGAACCATCTACACAAAACAGCAGTCATGGGCCATTTACACAAAACAACAGTTATGAACCGTTTACACAAGCCAACAACCACGAACCATCTACACAAACCAACAGCCATGAACCATCTACTCAAACCAACAGTCATGAACCATCTACACAAACCAACAGCCATGAACCATCTACTCAAACCAACAGTCATGAACCATCTACACAAACCAACAGCCATGAACCATCTACACAAACCAACAGCCATGAACCATCTACACAAACCAACATCCATGAACCATCTACACAAACCAACAGCCATGAACCATCTACACAATCCAACAGCCATGAACCATCTACTCAAACCAACAGTCATGAACCATCTACACAATCCAACAGCCATGAACCATCTACACACACCAACAGCCATGAACCATCTACCATCTACACAAACCAACAGCCATGAACCATCTACACAAACCAACAGCCATGAACCATCTACTCAAACCAACAGCCATGAACCATCTACACAATCCAACAGCCATGAACCATCTACACAAACCAACAGTCATAAACCATCTACACAAACCAACAGCCATGAACCATCTACTCAAACCAACAGTCATGAACTATCTACTCAAACCAACAGTCATGAACCATCTACACAATCCAACAGCCATGAACCATCTACACAAACCAACAGTCATGAACCATTTACACAAACCAACAGCCATGAACCATCTACACAAACTAACAGCCTTGGACCTTGTACACAAAATAACATCCACCATGAACCATGTTCCATCTACACAAAAAATAGCCATCATGAACTATTTGCCAACTCGAACATGAATCGTCCACTCGCAAAACAACACGTATGAATCATCTTCTGACATGAACCTCACAAACGACATCTACACAAATTTACAAAATAACGACCTAGACGAAAACCAACAATATTCTACACAAAATAATCATAAAGTGAACAAATAACTTAATACAGAAAACAAACGAAACCTAAATCAATTATCAAAAACATACACACCAATTATCAAACCCCTATCTTAATAATATAATTAACAACATTCTACACAAGAGATCGATTCGAGTTATCCAAACCATGTTGTCACACAAATGGAAGATTAAGAAAAAGATTAATCTGGTCAATGTCTGGAAACGTCTTCTGTCATCGTTTGTTTTCCATTGCCACAACAACCAACAGAAGTTATCAAGTCTAGAAAATACATTAGTTAATCACATTATGCAGGAATTCAATTTACCTCCCCGATATATATTAACTGGTTTACGAACTATGTTGATGAAACAGAAAACGTTTACCCCTCCGAAGCTCAGGATCTTGTATTTGTCAGGAGTCTCCGTGTAAATCTGTTTCATATCGTACCTTCACTTAAAGCACTGGAGTTAGAATAACGATCATTTTAACGTGTCGGTATTTTCTTTGTTGTTTTACGAGATAGTATCTTGCTGTGAATTATCAGTGTTTTGTTGACAGTGGCTAAAGGCGAGAAAGTGATGCATAACTTGTACCCTTAAAGAGATAATATGTGTCCTCGAATAATACCTTTCGTCACTTGATACCTACACCGATAATGTAATATGGGTTTTAATCTATCTCCAAAGCAATGCCTGCATAAGACTGTTTAACATTTGTGCAGCAACTAACTAAAGGATAGGGACGTCGACTTTCAATCGGTGTGGACAAATGTTTGCTAAACTATTAGAACTATAACGACAGTCTCGATGTGTTATGGACTTTAGAACTGTTCAATACATTAACTTAATAAGGATTCAGAGGTTCACACGAATTGCTAGTTAGAATGGTTCTACATCAATTATATCCACATTTCACATCTTGCAATTTTTAGTAAACGTTTGTTCAGAAGAATGCGTTATAACTTAACTTTTAAAAAAGATTGTTACTATCATGAAGGTTAGAAAATACCAAACAGGTGTAGTACAAAGCATTAGCTAACAATAACTATACTGCATACACAAACGTTACTGAAAACAATTACTGTTCAGTGATTGAGCAAAGTTAAGTTAATTTAATTCCAGATAAATTATAATGAAATAAAACACGTACAGGTGTCCCACGTACTTATATATGATGTATATATATAGCTGTATACAATTTAAATATAAATAAAAAAAATACACTCTTACCTAGAGCAAAGAACACGAAGAGAAGAACACATATAGAAAGTATAACAATCCACCAGCGAGGTTTAGTCAGAAGACGGCGGGGAAGACAACGTGTCCTCATACTCCTGGTGCTCCGGACACTCTCGGACAGTCCGGTCAGAGAGGAGAGTTGGACACTACATCGAGACCGGACACTGTAAGCCACAGGAGAATCATCACACTACATGTACACTGGCGGAGTTGTGCATCAGGACTTAGCAGTGATCTTACGGTCTCCGTCCTGGACATGACAGACAAAGACAGGTACCATTCATCACGGCCTAGGAGGGGCCCAAGGCGGGATAGCTCAACACCTTAAAATCCGGACACCGCCCATAAGGCCTCAGGTGGGAAATCTTATAACTTCATACCGGATGCTTAAAGATATTTAAAGCTAAGTGTCTTCTCTCACTGGTAGTATCTGGCTGTGACACACACGTTTCAAATTCGCTGATAATTTTTCGAATGTGAATCCTTATCCGAAGGAGTAGTGTATATTAATAAATACGATGTACTTGCACTTATTTTCCTCAAATCGCACTAGATCCCGCGAGATGACAGATGAAACATATTTCATTGTTACACATTAGAAAAACGTAACGTTATTCACCAGTTCTGACTACAGTATCACATTAAGCTGAAATATTCATGAAAACACTGATGTAATTATTGCAGAGTAAATCGCTTACCACCAAAATATGAATTATTTAACACATAATTTATTGTCTGATTTCACCTTCATTATATATACTTTAGTATGTAATATCTCCTAGATCAAGCTGACAAGATTTTAAAAAGCATTGAAGAAGAAGTAAGAAAAGTTTGAATACACATCACCAAATTTCGATTAAACACAAGAGATACGATATGATTGGTCTTTGCCATACACAACACAAAGACAAATTTCTATGGGACACAACAAACCATACATGTACCGTCAAGAACAGTGAATATTATAAATATCTCATAGCTAAGATGCAAATGATTTCGCATACAGAAACGTATGTTACAAGCTAATTTATCAATTCGTAAAGATTTGATTATTTTGTAATGTATTGGAAGCCACTTTCAGGTAAGAATCCTGTTTACAGGTGTTTATAGAACCTGTGATATCTGCAAAACAAAAACGTATAATATACGTATACACTGTGCGCCGATACTACTCACTCTCTATAATAGCGACAAATAATTGAGAATTGTAACAGCAACGAGTCTTAATATTGCAATAAAGAATTTAATATCTGTTTATAACAACGAGTCTCCATACAGATTTATGAGAGTTATTATTGGGACAAATAATTGAATATGTGTTTATAACAACGAGACTCCACACAGACTCGTGAGAGTTATCATTGCGACAAATAATTGAATATGTGTTTACAACAATTAGACTCCACACAGACTCATGTGAGTTATTATTGCGACAACAGATAGTATATCTATTGACAACAACGAGATAAATAGTAAAGTATTGTACAACATAACCATCACAGGATTCGACAGATATACATTAATACACAGGAGTATATACTATTGATTGGGTTAAACTACTATCAGAACAAGTGTTAATTGCATCTATGGTAATGAATGCCAGATATGAAGCTGACAAGTCTGAAAACGGCGCCGAAATACAGGTTTTAGTATATAGAACAGATTCAACGCACATAAAAGACATAAGAAAACCAGATTTACATCCAAAATATTCAGGTATATGAAATAGAATTACAAACAAGAAGGGAAACCGGATTCCGTTTTTGTATATGTTTGGAAGACTGTTTCAAAACCAAGGAGCCTAAAACGAGAAAGACGTGTCCGTATCTGCTCGTGTTTTCCTTTGTTGTTGTCTGAAATAGAGAATCAAGAAAATACCAACATAGCAAAATAGTCATACCTCAAACTCAAGATCAATAAAACTAGAGCAAATCATCAAAAAAAGAAAGATTTATATGGAGACTACTGAAAACGTTCAAGGAAAACAAGACCATGTGTTCCATAAGAGTAAGCGTTTTCTGCTTCAGCGACGAAATTGAAATTATATAGAAAACAGATCATGTACATATTCAGAGGAAATCTTGTAATCAATCTTAAATAGTTTTTACAAGATTAATTTCCAGTTTAAGATAATGTCATAAAAGAAAAATAATAAATTTTAAAACACGTTCCTGAAGCAGTTGCTTATTTCTATATATGCTTTCTATGCTTGTTAGGTGCCATACAAGAGGACAGGGGTAAAAATTATAAGCAAATGAATGATAAATAAATGTGATTATGTTTACATGTTGGTATTTTTAAGTTAATATTTTTATCAGGACGAAAATTTTCATTTTTTTCAAAACAAACTGTTTCATTGGTCAGTTGTTTGTCGTGTTTGTATAGAAATTTTAGTTACTGGTATAACCAGGGATTGTGATATGGTAGTACACCGTGTCTCCTGCGTTTGCGAAATATGCCTGGCTTTTATTTCAATTTTCGCTGTTTGCGCCCAGAACATCAAATCCATCCATCTCCCTACTCGGTACTTCCTTGCAACTTTATACAGTTCCGAAATCCTTTTGGTTTGTAGAGTACTATGTGTATTTATTGGTATCAGCTATACCAAATGTCCTCTCGTTTTCCTTCAGTGGTACCTCGGTTTGACGTTCCCTTCCGGCTTGTGCTTACCAGCGTTGTGTAGTCAATTTATTGAAATCATTTCCTATAATGGAAACTCTCGTTGTTTTTCTCTGGTTCAAATTCTTTGTTTTGTCAATTGTTCTAAGATCACCTGTATCGTTATGACATGTTTTTTTCTATGATGACATTGAGAATTTATTTTGAAACAATTTGATACAGGGTTAATGGCTATTTTTTTTTGGTTACATAAAGAAATGACATTTTTATTAATTCTTCGAGTCTAATACTTTACTTTGCCAGATTGGAGCATGAAGCGATCACAGTATATAAAAAATATCATTAACAAGATTATTTACAAAAGACACACAAGTGAATAGCAACTTTGATTAGTTATCACACAGCTGTCTCGTCCTTCTAGGAGTCTTCCCACAGAATTTTTAGTTTAATAAAACGCTTGGCGTATTTAAAATATGCTTCAGATATATTCATCAGAAGATGATAGTTCAAATTCACTAATGTAAAATCCTCATTACAATATATTGGTTGTAGTATTTGTCTTTCATTTTCATGTTTTTCACTTTCATTTGTCTTTGGTTTCATACCAATTGGTTTTAAATAACCTTTCTAAATTTAATTTCAGAATGACGTTATCGTAACGACGGATCTCAGCTGTGGTGAAAACGAAGTCCAGATATTTTGATTTGATTTCTGATGTTAACTCTCGGGATACTTACTGTTTACAACGATTGATTAATTAAACAAATTCCTTCACATACCTTAGAAGTCGTAATATCCCTCGCGTGGCCTCAATGTTTTGTACATGGTAGGGGATATATGTCCACTATCATAACGACTACATTCAACATTCATTACAGTTAAAGTATTTCCACTTGTATCACACCTACGTAATTTTTGGCGTTATTTATAGAATATATAATGCCGACGACACTGATATTTTTTTTCCTCATTTAGGGAACAGAGAGGTTCATTATCGTTACAAAAACATCAACTTTATGAAAGCAAAAAAAAAAAAAATTTTTACTCTAAATAATTAATTTACAGTGTTTATCGCGGGAAAACATTTTATACAGACAAAGATAAACAAGGTACGCACTGACCGATTTTATCATTGTTAACAGTTTAAATGAAAACTTCTCAGTTGCATCATGGGATCACATTAACTTAATCTGTCTCGGAGGAGTTTCTTAAGACTTCTATAACGGTATCTATCAATGATTACCGTTTGTTATTTGACTTTTTCTTTTGATAGACCAGCAACTCTTTTGACCTCAATTTCTTTGTTTTCCAACTTGGACTCCGCGGCTTTTTTTTTGTTTTTCATTTTATCTTTACTGGTTTCATTTTAATAATACAATCACATGTTTTAGAAATTCAACGAACGCTCGGATTAGTTTCCGAGGTATAACACATATATACTACTTCACAGTTACTCTTACTGCTGTTTTTCTGTACTTGTTACATATAAATGACAATTTTATATGATTTTCACACCGTATCGGCTTGCTGATGAAGATTTATTCAAGCCTTTTTCCGATCAAATTCTGATAATTTCGATTAACAAAATTGCATTTTTGTCATAAAGATTTATGTTGTTTTGAGATTCAGTGCGGTACGTGAGGCGATATGTACCAAGAATGGGTTTAATAATTTTGGATTTTCCTCAGTCGCCTAGGGTTTAAAAGTTAAACCTTTAGTATCACTGACGAATTCTAGAAGGACAAAACAGCTGTCTAATACAGTTGAATACATTTTTTTGCTTAATTGTGTCTAATTCTAGTTTTCGATAACCAGGTGTTATTTACGTGTGTATCTTAATACAATGTTGTTATAAATCTGTTTATAAACTGGTGTCTGTCAATACAGCTGTACCAAACTACGATTTTCTTATCAAGGACTTAATTATGAAGTTTTTCAAAACAGAAAAAAATATCTGCTATATTTATTTAGAGAACGTTTAAACCCTTCAACATTTGTGACGAGATATTAGAATTTTCAAATCCATTCATGTCATTTAAAAAATAATATTTTAAGTGGTGACCATATTGTGGGGTGAAAGCATTGATATTTGTACATAATCTTATCAGTTTTTGTATTAATTTCCAAACCTCTCCATTGAGAGACAGTGAAATGAGTAAGTGATATCACGTGCTGTTTTTTTCTTATTTTTTTTTTTGGCTTCAAAATATAACCTTATCATTATCACAATGAACAAGTAGATAATAGGCAGGTATCTGTTTTATTTAATATTTGAACATAAAGTAAATACATAGTTAGATATCATTGTGATTTTTGTTTCAGTCACTATTCAGCTAAAACGCTTGACGTTTGCATGTCCGTTTTCTTTCGTAAGATGCTTATGCCCTAGGGGTAGAGAGCGCTCACACTCGTTAAGGTCATGTCACCACTTTATGCGGTGTAATCACATCACAAGTGTAAGATGTCATTATTTCCGACAAAACTACCATAGGTCCTTTCAGTTGGTGTGGTGTACATCTATACAAAACACGACAACTTTCCAATACTGTGCTTTTGGAAAGTGCGACAGAAAAATCACTTTATACTCAGCCATACAACTTTATAAGCAGTGTGATAGAGTTTAGAAAACGCCGACTCTCATAGTGGCTACTAGCACATACAGTCCATTTGCCTCACGTCCAGACGTCCGTTTATAGTTTTTTACGTTGACCGAACAAATCTACCCTCATGTTTTGCCACATACTGCTACTATACTCATACACTACGTATGTCTCCCGTTCCTGGGCGTTATTGGGTCCCCAGTCAGGAGATGGTCTAACTAGATTCTTGATTCTCTGAAAACAAAAACACCGGTTCAGGTATTCTATATACAAAACACATGTTTTCAATAATGTAAAATTTTGATTTTTTTAGTTTTACACAAACGGGTTGTAATATTCCTCTCAAATCGTATTTATGACATTTCACTTGTCATAATTTATTCTTTAATTACAGCGGTTTTTTTTTTCAAAAGAATGCGTTTTCATTGCTTTATATTTAATAAACTGACTCATCTCACGAAATCAGTTAAGAGTGATGAAACGTCAGATAAACCAAATCTTGCAGATTAATGTGACAGAATGTTTACTTTTATGACAAAATAAAACTTGTATGTTATTTTTTCATGTTTGCCGTTAGCTGCCACAACATCAGACTATGGAAGGTACAGAAGAAACATATCGATTTTTACAGTTAGGTCACACCAAAAAATAAAAAATGCCAGATTTTTACCGTCTATAATATGCAACTCATTTTAACACGAGTTTAAATAATGAGAAAAATCAGGTCCAATCTTTGATTATATATTTGTATCTGTAGTTTAAATGGAATGCTTGCCACACAATTCTTATACTACGCAATATTGATAATGATGGATGTTTACCTGTTTTAGGGTGCCCGACTCCGATAGAAGCTGAGTAAGCATAAACAACGGTATAGGTAGAATGGGGAGGATTCCGATCATGTTACCCACGATTCCAATATAGCTCGGGTATGTGTACTCTTTAGACGAAGGGCTAGTCATGTTGGTCATGACGAGGATAAGAGATATCTAAAAAAAAAACCCATGAAAATTGTATTACATACCTACATTGTAGAACAAAAAGATACTACAACACAACCAGTAGAGATGACTTCACTACACGGTCACCGTACTGAGTGTACGAGATGGTAAGAAATCGGCCAACTTTTTCGGCCATACTAAAATTTCATGTACACTACTGTTAAGGGTAGTGTGACGAGATGGTAAATGCATTATAGACCAAATATACCCAAGATGGTAACATTGTACTGTAGTCAATTCGGCCACACTTCTTTTAACACTTTTGCACGAATTCCTAAACCACTGTCCATATATAGGTAACAGATGTATTCAACACTCGTTCTTCAGGTCCAGAATTAGGACAAAGCTTTGTGAATCGACAACATGACAACACTCAACAATATAATATATTTATTAACAGTGGATAAATTGGATTAAAAAAAAGATAACAAAGAACAATCACTTTTAAACCCATTCTCTCCGCGCGCTGTGAACACAGAAACCCTACATACGTAATTAACTTATCACTGGTCTACCCGTTAAGTAACCTATTAACAATTCCTGTGCTTCAATATCTTACAAAATGTCCAAATATATTTATTTATTCAACGGTTGTAACGGTCACTAAAACCTGACACACGTGGAAGAAGATGATGATGGTTTTTCGGAGATGTATGTAGAAAAGTGTTGGGAATTCGTTCCAAATCTATATCAATTGTAGTGTTAAATCAGGAATAATCTTTACAACCTCCAATCAGTTCGGAAAATCCATAGATGAAAACTTAAGTGGGATTATTAACCTCTGTTGAACACTATGAAGTCTGGTATGAACCGAGCATGGAGATACCAGTTATGAACATCTGTCCTAACATGTCACAGAGCAGAAGCCACGTCACGTCAATATTAGCCTTAGTACGACGTTATCTACAGTGAGTTAACGGCGAGATAAAGTTAACGGCGAGATAAAGACATTTAAAAACAACCATGGACAATTGTCTTAACATGTCACAGAGCTGAAGCCAAGTGGGAGACTACCAGTCAATCATGTAGTTACGTCAATGACAGCCTTAGTATGACGTTAACGACAGTGAGTTAACGGTGAGATAAAGTTGAAGACAGTGAGTTAACGGTGAGATAAAGATCACGTGAACATAAAGTTAACGGTGCGATAAAGTTAAAGACAGTCAGTTAACGGTGCGATAAAGTTAGACAGTCAGTTAACGGTGCGATAAAGTTAGACAGTCAGTTAAGCGTGAGATAAAGTTAGAGACAGTTAACGGTGAGATAAAGTTAAAGACAGTCAGGTGACGGTGAGATAAAGTTAAGGTAAGTTAACGGTGGGATAATCTTAATGACAGTGAATTAACGGTGAGATAAAGTTAAAGACAGCTAGTTAACGGTGAGATGAAGTTAACGACAGTGAATTAACGGCGAGATAAAGTTAACGTTGAGATAAAGCTAATGGTGTAATAAAGTCCTATAAAATTATAAACCTTACTTTTGGGGAAGATGTCCTTACCTCTCCTTACTGTTAACGTATAATATAACAATTTTATAATGTTAGATATGAAAAATAACTTAAAATCATAAAAAAAATCTGTACATAAAACCGTACGGTTCCATATGTACACTACAACCGGAAGTACGTACTTAATATACTAATGACTTTAAGGGTTTTTTTGTGACAGTAGGAGATGCATGCACGTAATATATTACACTATATATCTGATTCAGTAGTAAAACTGACTGCAAGACACACCTAGATTTCCACAAACACAATTAGATGAATAGTACAGAAAGGAACATCAGAACCACGTCACATCAAGGAATACTTACAAACATTGCAATCGGTACCAAAATATACCAGGACCATCGTATGAGTATGTGAACCGATCGTCCAGTCATTAGTTCCACGTCTCGGCTAAATCTCTCGGCACCTGTAAGGTAATTGAAAATACTACTCAAATAATTTCTCATGCACATATACAAATGATTATTACACTTTACTAAAGATTGACGTGATTTCTTCTAGTTAGAGAAACAAGTAAGTTATTTATAGACACATTCGAGGAACATGAATATACATTTCACCAAAAACCTTTCTCTAGGAGAAACATTTTATGGTAAAGTAAAGTAAAAGATTAACATTGCGCGTGAGCATGTAACATACATTTATTTACACATATTAAAGTAGATGCAATGAAGTTTCTAAGCATGTGATGCTCATGTAGACAAATGTTTGTTGATCTCAATTATCATATCATCAAAGAGAAAAAAACCCAATTTCATCAAAAGCATCCTTTTGAATTCATCATATCATGACAACATTTGAAATTTTAATTTAATTATTGTTTTAATTTAATTAAAAAGAAAGAAACTACTATTTCATAAAATATGCAATTAACAAACATTAAAACGTCTTTTAAACCATAAAATCTTTCACTTTAATTCATATCTTAATAATAATTTCCACATCAAAATGCACTTCTTCAAATAGCTGTATGCAATAAAGTGAGCGTTCTTCTATTTAATAACTCATTGTCCGAAATTCAGATGACGAGATTATTAACAATCAGTCACACAGACTTGCTTTCACAAAAACTTCTTCTCCCATAATCAATGGGCCAAATGTTTTAATATTTTTGATTAACATGTTTTCTTCGCTTGGTCTTTCGTGTAATCTTAGATATGATGACACATTTTAATAGATATCACACAACACATGCATATGGTTAGTAAGGTTGTATTAGAGTTAATGCATACATATATTTAACATAAAGCTCAACATGGAAAATGTCCTTTACGGGAACAGGTCTGTATTTCTTCAGAAAATAGCTAACCCAGACGATGGAAATTGTCCAACCATTTCTTGGTATCAAACATGGCCACATCAATGCAATGTAAAAGTAAACTGTTTGTACATGAACGGTTTTCACGGTTAAAACTTCAGGTTGAAAGATAGGATATTTTCATAGAATTTCAGAAAGTAAAAAAAAAATTCTACAAATTCATTATGTTACTATAGAATTTCTGTAAACCATTCATATAGTATTAAGGAAAACATGTATTTGAATCCTTGAGTTGAAAGTCACATTTGTAAATAAATTGGCCCTACATTGCAGTGTAATATCAGTGTCACCGTTCTTTTGTGACCACATGTATGGTATCGTACTGAACAGTAAACTCTGATATTACTATCACAATTTCTCGTGATTTAAACGTCTTGGTCTTAACACGTGATTAGTAGTATTACAACAAGGTTAGAAATATCAATACAAACGTTAAGCACATCACACAACATAATTGACGGCAACGTTCAAGTGTAATGTAGCCGAGGGAAGAAAAATATTGTCGATTTTATACTACGTCTGATATTAATAGTGACGATGGTGTCAGTTTGAAAAATAATACATACCATAAAGCCAGGCAATCACCACACACTCCAGGAGTGACCCAAGGAAAATACAGTAGGCTGCGATATACCAGTCTATGAGTTTGAACACGTATACCCCAGCCTGAAAAGAAACCATTCGGAGTAACGATATATCAATAAAAGTCATTGGGTTCATATTATTTTTATTGTTGTAACTGATATTATCGCTTACAAACAAACATGATATTAAGCGTTAGTGATAGGTCAGTAAAAAATCATAAGACGAAATTTAGGAAAGTTTGAAATAAAAATTTCATTAAATTCAGACTGCTATTTCACAAACATATCGATCTTCGATTAATCGTCAATTAGATACAAACATGTAGCCACATGTTAAAGCCATACACTTTCCCCGGCAATACTCGAGCGGTTTGAAGCACAAATAGAAGACTTTTCTTACTAAAATGTCTCTTTCGAATCTCTTGATTGAAAATTAAGGTGGTTTTTCTTTAGAAGTGAATTAAAAGAATGTTCAATAAGTGATCTTCCATCACGCATTCTATGTGTGCATTTTTGGTTCTACCTTAAATCTACACCTTTCCAATATGATTTTCATTGTTTAACAGGGTGTAACGAACTCGAAACACCAGAAAAAAAAGATTCATTGTGGCAAATATGTCATCGACACACTAGTAAATTCCAGTTCTGATTATTTTCTTCTTCAATCGTCTTTAAAGAACTGTTGTTTGGGCAAGTCACACTATCAAACAGGAAGTGGTACTTACCTGTGAGGCGAAAATCAAACTTGTGACGACGTAAAACAGGAACAATATGCTAAGCACGAGTAACTTGTGTTTTCCTAGCGTCTTCGGGTACATGTCAACAAGTCCACTGACGATGGTCTCCAACAAACCAAACTGTTTAACACCAAGATGTTTAAGAAGTAAAAAAGTAATCTTATAGAACTTTGAGAAAAATTTGCATTGTCAATGTCAAGTTCTGTAGACTTTTTTACAATAGTGTCGAACGAGAATAAAGTTTAAATGGAATAACGTAGTGTCCGTTGATTTTGCATTCGCACAAAATGTGAAAAGTCTACGCAATTAGATAGTCAAGAGTCAAGCGAGCGCTGTCAGGTAGTTTCGCGCAAAGCTGACAGCAGCTCCACGAGATCTCGCGGTGTCATCGTCGCATTGCGACAGTGGTGACAACAAGGGGAGATAATTTTCCCTGGCTTTCACTACATATTTGTGGGTATAGAAATAAATCAGCGTTATTTGTATAATACGACCACTGCCGAAAGTGTTTACCTGACTGTCTATTCCAACGAAAACCACCATGACAAAGAAGAGTACAGACCACATGTGCGGAAGCGGAAGTCGTATTAGGGCTTCTGGGTAAGTTAGAAAAATCAAACCTGGACCTAGTGAAATAAAAAAAATTAACAGATTGATATGTATCGTCTTCGTGTTATACCTTTATACTGACATCCTAGCTACATCATCAGGAAGGAATAACGAGTAACACTGCATACATTTTTATGATTGTTTACAATTCCATTCTCCATTGTACATAGCCAAACAAACTCATATCATGCACCTGATATCCCCCTTTTGAAACCAAAAATGATAGTGAATATTTTATGAAAACTCAGTCACATTGGTTACTATTAATAGAAATATATAACATGTGAAATATACAAATCTTAATCACATGGCGTACCTGCTTCCACTACCTCATCCACCTTCATCCCCGACTTATGTGCGAGGAATCCGACAATAGAGAAGACGACAAATCCACAGTAAAATGCTGTGAATAGGTCCATAAACACAACCAAAATGGCATCACTGGAAAAATAAACACATGTATGGACAAATGTGTTTAGTATTGTGAAATACGTTTTAATCTATAAACGTATCAGCAAATGAAAATTACAAATTGTAACATTTTGCATTAACATTTGTGTTACATATAATTACTGTTTAGCGAAACATTCGTCCATGCTTATTTGTTTTCCCTCCTATGTATGTATTTGCCTTCTCCCAGTTTTAAATTCCTCACAGGACATAAAATCAAGCGCATACTTTAGTTTCACCTGAAATGGCCATTTTGTTTTCGCCTTTTTTTCACAAAATGGCAACAGTGAAACGGTATCGAAAATTTCACATTCCTATTCATTAGGTTTTATCTTTCATTTCATCAACTGGACATTCAAGTCAATAAAATTATATAGAATATCTTTACTTTTGTTATGCAATCAAGGCTAAAACGGACATACGTATATATATATATATAGATATATATATATATATATGTAATCAATGAAGAAATAATGGCGGCACGGACAAGTGAATTGTCAAATTTTCGAGGCAACCTGCCCATTTATCAAGACACAAATATTACATAAATTACATCACATACATAGAACATAAAACAAATACAAAGTTATAAATCTAAATCGAGAGCGGTGGTGTAAATTTAGGTGTCTCGATAATCCCTGCGGCCGATGGACGCCGTATATTTGTGAGTTGATAAAGGGGCAAGTTGCCTCAAAAATTTTACAATTCGGTTGTCCGCACTGTCGTTATTACTTCATTGATCATATATATATTCCAGTATTACACATCAGTGTATTGTGATATTTGAACATGGTAACACAATAGACGAAGGGATACCGTTTTTGGCTTGTGCCCATTCCGGGCCTCCATCTCTATATTTGTATTGTTTGTAATTAGGAATAGAAAGTCTGTGTTGAAAAACTGGTTTATCATATTAAAAAAGTATCTTAATTCAAAGTACCTTACCCCAGACACTTGTTGTGAAATCTGTTAAAACTAGCCATGGTAAGAACCCCGCCCCATGAGGGCCCTAAAGAATAAAAAACCTGAAGGGCAGCTTCAAACCACACCTAAAAGAAAAAAAAATTATACATATTTAGTAAATATTTCACTGAAAAAATAGTTAACCTGTATGAAAATTCATGCTGTCTAGTACCACCAACAATGCTGAACACGGGAATCCAACTTTCTAATCAAGACCCCCTTACGAACGCCGCGATGTTTTCTACCAAGTCCGACATACATTACCAATTGACGAGATACTTGAATGTCAACGGATTTAATAATTATGATTATCATTTTGTAGATGATGTTAACTATCAAACATTTCTGTAATCCTTGTAGAATTCCATACAAATCCTATCGACTCGATTTAAATTCAAACGATATAGGACAAGCGGACCGGAATTCGATCATCAGAGAAAGCATTTAAACGACAATTGGTTCAGTTACCTGAAAATGCATTAGTCTGCTGAAATCTGGCTTTATGTAATAGATGATTCCGTCGACAGCGCCGTCTAGAGTCAGACTCCGGACAAGGATCACGGTAAGAAGGAGGTAAGGAAGAGTTGCTGTGACGTAAACTACCTGTAATGTAAAAATAGACATTGTTATTCATGATATTCAACGTATTAAGATATATTGGAGTATTTTCAATATGAGTGATTATACTTGTCGATAATCATAGAACGGATAACTTGATTCATATCGAATTATGTAAGACTATTATCCGTATTAGTATGATCACGTTTTACATGTCAGAAATTGAGAATTTTCTACTCTTGATTATGGTGTCTCCTCCTCCGAAAGGTTCGAAGGGAGATAACCCTTACATGTGTAAACAAGATATCATCTACTTCACAACAACGGATTGATAACAATTAGACTTGAATTCTTGGCTTTAAAATCACACCAACTAAAACCAACTTTCAGGTTTCGAAAATATATTCCACGATGTTTCCAAGGAGGAACTGTATATATATATATATATATATAAACACACTCTTAAGAATGATATTTTCTGCTTAGTAACGGACATTTACTGTAGATATACAGAGGTTAAAACAGGCAAAAATCACAAAACCGAAATGTCTTTCAATGTAGCAGAACCATAAGTCATATGGCCCAGTTGAATACTCTGAAGATGGTAATGGATTCAATGACCTATCCATTAATCATAGATTATGTGGATGATCGGAGTTCGGGGTTCGATTCCTGGAACGATTCCTGCCTGACCACATGGGTTTACTGGGTACTCCCACTAAAAGACCCCAATTGCGCACTTCCATCCGGCAGTGATGAATATAAGATTAAAGTTTGTTTCTCAATTATAGAAAAATAGATACAAATTATAACCTTAGAAAACAGAAATAAAGATTGAAACATAACACAATATCTAATACATAAACCTGAAACGTTTTCCAACTTCCAGGCCCTGGAGTATTAGTAAATATACAAATTACTGATTATGTACCAATCGTTTGGAAAAAGTTTACCTAAGACGTCTACTATACAATGTCTTGATCTTTAAACTTTTACGGTTTCACATTTAATATAACTAGGAAATACATTTCCTGTTTATTACAGAACATACCGATATTATTCGAGTCATAACTAGTGATGTATATGTAAAACACTATAACACTTGTCCGTACTGTAATTTGAAGATGTTTATGAAATGTTCGAAGAGTCAACAACAAGCAAATTCATGGAATTTATATCCCCCGCTTTCCAAACATATTGTAAGTAAATATTTTAGAGGTTAGGAGTAAACATCATGTTACATCTAAATCAGATTATATTTAGGAAAGTTTGAGCACAAAAACTGACCGACGAAAGAAATGAAAGGATACCTAATTAGTATGCATAGATATTAACAGATGATGCCGATTGCTGAACTCAGTCTTATGTGCCCTAATATGCATCTGCTGACCAAGTTTCATCTAAATCGGATTATATTTAGGGAAGTCAGAGCACGGAAATGAACCGACCAATGAAATCAAATGATACCTCAATCGTATGCATAATTATTAACAGATGACACTGAAAGTCAAACTCAGTCTTAATGACCCCAAGATGCATCTGCTGACCAAGATTCACCCAAATTGGATGATATTTAGGGAAAGTGTGACAGACAGACGGACGGACAAACGAACCCAAATTAATATCCCCCGTTGAGGTGAAAGCGGGGGATAATAAAGAAACGAAATATATTAGAACACGAGAGGTATGTGCCAAAAACACTTGAACTTTTTCCTGAGTGTATTTACCGCATGCATTATAAACGATACAAACTGCGTATCATGCCAGTCATCTTAAACATTAGACCACCCTTTCATATTACCGCTCTAATAGTGGATATATCCGAATATAAGAACCGGTTTCAGTGTCAGTGTAGTGATGCAATTCTGTTTTCATGGATAGGAGTATGCACATAAGCTCCGCGATTATTTTAGTTTTCTTTATAAACGTCCAAATTCAATTCTTGTATGAACAAGAAATAGGTAACATTTTAACACTGAAGAAAATGTCTACGTGACGCGAAAGCATAACCAGTTTCACTTGTATAGTTTCTTTCAGTTTTATATATCATCACAGACACGCTGCAGGTATATTTTCTTCCCGAAATTTAAACTCGTCATGCACATTTATTTTCTTAACGATTTGAATAAATATAAGGTTCCTTGAATAAAGTTCTCCCTATTGAAATAAGACTGAAACTGTAATAGTGTTAAGTGCACTTTGCATGTATGCTTAATTTATATTAATCTAAACATTTAGGATATCTCCATTTTACAGGGACATAACAAAGACAAAAATGCAACCACTGCCTGAACACACTAGGACAAACTATTTCAAAGCGTTATCATGTAAGGAAAAAATAGTTTACATTGTCATCACACAAGGGCAGAATATTCTACAGTGTGTTTACACAAGGATAAAAAATATGTACCGCATGAACACACAAGGACAGAATTTTTTACAGCATGAACACACAAGGACAGAATATTTTACAGCGTGATCACACAAGGACAGAATATTCCACAACGTCATCATACAAGGACAGAATATTCCACAACGTTAACACACAAGGACAGAATATTCCACAACGTGATCATACAAGGACAGAATATTCCACAACGTTAACACACAAGGACAGAATATTCCACAACGTGATCACACAAGGACAGAATATTCCACAACGTTAACATACAAGGACAGAATATTCCACAACGTGATTACACAGATACAGAATATTCCACAACGTCATCACACAAGGACAGGATATTTCACAGCGTGATTACACAGATACAGAATTTTCTATAGTGTGAACACACAAGGACAGAATATTCCACTACGTCATCACACAAGGACAGGATATTTCACAACGTGATTACACAGATACAGAATGTTTATAGTGTGAACACACAAGGACAGGATATTCCACAACGTGAACATACAAGGACAGAATATTCCACAACGTGAACATACAAGGACAGAATATTCCACAACGTGAACATACAAGGACAGAATATTCCACAGCGTGATCACACAAGGACAGGTTATTTCACAACGTCATCACACAAGGACAGGATATTTCACAACGTGATCATACAAGGACAGAATATTCCACAACGTGAACATACAAGGACGGAATATTCCACAACGTGATCATACAAGGACAGAATATTCCACAACGTTAACATACAAGGACAGAATATTCCACAACGTGATTACTCAGATACAGAATATTCCACAACGTCATCACACAAGGACAGGCGATTTCACAGCGTGATTACACAAATACAGAATTTTCTATAGTGTGAACACACAAGGACAGAATATTCCACAACGTGATTACACAGATACAGAATTTTCTATAGTGTGAACACACAAGGACAGAATATTCCACTACGTCATCACACATGGACAGGATATTTCACAACGTGATCATACAAGGACAGAATATTCCACAACGTCATCACACAAGGACAGAATATTTCACAGCGTGATTACACAGATACAGAATTTTCTATAGTGTGAACACACAAGGACAGAATATTCCACAACGTGAACATACAAGGACAGAATATTCCACAACGTGATCATACAAGGACAGAATATTCCACAACGTGAACATACAATGACAGAATATTCCACAACGTGAACATACAAGGACAGAATATTCCACAACGTGATCATACAAGGACAGAATATTCCACAACGTGATCATACAAGGACAGAATATTCCACAACACAAGGACAGAATATTCCACAACGTGAACACACAAGGACAGAATATTCCACAACGTGATCATACAAGGACAGAATATTCCACAACGTGAACACACAAGGACAGAATATTCCACAACGTGAACATACAAGGACAGAATATTCCACAACGTGATCATACAAGGACAGAATATTCCACAGCGTGATTACACAGATACAGAATTTTCTATAGTGTGAACACACAAGGACATAATATTCCACAACGTGAACATACAAGGACAGAATAATCCACAACGTGATCATACAAGGACAGAATATTCCAAAACGTGAACATACAAGGACAGAATATTCCACAACGTGAACATACAAGGACAGAATATTCCACAACGTGATTACACAGATACAGAATATTCCACAACGTCATCACACAAGGACAGAATATTTTACAGCGTGATTACACAGATACAGAATTTTCTATAGTGTGAACACACAAGGACAGAATATTCCACAACGTGAACATACAAGAACAGAATATTCCACAACGTGATCATACAAGGACAGAATATTCCACAACGTGAACATACAAGGACAGAATATTCCACAACGTGAACATACAAGGACAGAATATTCCACAGCGTGATCATACAAGGACAGAATATTCCACAACGTGAACATACAAGGACAGAATATTCCACAATGTGATCACGCAATGCATTTACTACGGCGTGAGCGATGGACAAATATACTATAACGTGATCAAACAAGGATTAGATATTCATGTACCCTTGCGTGAGCGAAAATGGACAAATATACCAAAACACGATCACACAAGACAAAAAACGTCATCACACACGGCAAAGTAAACCACAGCTTCAAGATTTCACGATGACTTGTACTAATCCACTATTCTTACATTGTCTACATATTTCGCGCCCGCTACAATGACATGTTATAGTCCAATATCCTTACCATATCTACAGATTTCACTCCCTTCACGATGCCATGTAATAATCCACCATCCTTACCTTGTCTACAGATTTCACTCCCTTCACGATGACATGTTATAATCCACTATCCTTACCTTGTCTACAGATTTCACTCCCTTCACGATGCCATGTAATAATCCACCATCCTTACCTTGTCTACAGATTTCACTCCCTTCACGATGACATGTTATAATCCACTATCCTTACCTTGTCTACAGATTTCACTCCCTTCACGATGACATGTAATAATCCACCATCCTTACCTTGTCTACTGATTTCACTCCCTTCACGATGACATGTTATAATCCACTATCCTTACCTTGTCTACAGATTTCACTCCCTTCACGATGACATGTAATAATCCACCATCCTTACCTTACCAACTGATTTGACGCCCTTCACAATGCATACAAATGATAAAGCATATGCCAGAAGTAGTACCAGGACCGTATGCCACTGAATGGTTCCCACCTCATCGATGCCATTGGATATATTCAGCACCTTGTATCTGATAGAAACAAGGAAATATCATTATGTTATTCAGTAACATATTGAAATTTTTTACCGAAAGAAATACAGGTGTATACAGGTAAGTAATTCAATATACAAAGATTTATCCGTAACCCTACCAACACGTGACATAGTTATAGATTTACATAATATCTTAATACTTTCTTCAAGATACAAAAATGTATCCATTCCCCTACCAACACGTAACATAATTATAGATTTACATAATATTTTAATACTTTCTTCGGGATAAAAAGATTTATTCGCAAGTTTATCGATGGGTGACAATATTATAGGCCTTTAATAGTAAGCACGTTAAAAATTAAATCAAACGTTTCATGCTTTCCTTTACGGAAAATTGCACAATTTTAAGGCTAAACATGTAAGAACGTTAATTCATAATTCAATGAACATGTCAATTTACAAACCCACTTACACATAGACGTACACACCAGAGCGTCTTTGCATTAAAGCAAACGGGGATGTAATAAGGTATAAAACTTTGTCTTTATCTTTCAGGAATTGTTGTTGGGCACCACAGTTTTTCGTCTTTGCGGCTTTATGGTTTACAATTTGTTGATGGGTCAGTTGTCAGAAATATAAGATACTGTTTCTCTCAGGATATATCAAATACACATTACATTTTAGCGTAATGAAACTATTCATTGTTATCCTTCATTTGTTATACATACCTCCAAAATTCTTTAGCTGATGTTTCAATGCCTTCTGTCCTGTTTTCTCTAAATGTAGAATTGAGGGAACTTATATATGTGTTGTTAGATATGTCGGACACATTGGTGGAGGCTGATGGTACTGTGCGAAACACCACGCATTGGTCCGTATTCCATTCGTTGTCACAGGAAGACCAGGGAAGATTTGTCGCGAACGAGTACCCGAGATAGTACAAGACCCAAGCAAGAACTACGCCAATATACCACGTGACGACTAGGGAAACAAATACCATCATGAATCCCAATCCTAGGGTAAAATAATACGACAAAATTAAGAATTAAGATTTGTGATACATAATGATGATGATGATTGTTTATTCAAAAACTTTATTGGAAAAAAAAATAAATAAAAAAAATGTTTTGTAAATTAAAAAAGTAAAGATTTCTGATATATGCACAAAAAAGACAAAAATAGAATAAAATAATAATAATAATAATAATAATAATAATAATAATAAAAACAGCTGCCTGTTAGTTTAAAAGAGACATAAGACCAAACACATGACAAAGTGATGATATGCAGTATAGATATTGAAGTGATCGTTAAAATCAAAGAAACATATATATAAATATATACATTTTTCGATCATTCTCATGTGTCGGAGCGTAATTATCAAGATACTTTATCTTAAATACTTTAGAAAGAATGATCCATTCAAACTCCAGGCAGTCTTCATTAAGGTGTTTGGACTACCTCTCACAGACGAATACAATTAACATATCAGTTAGTATGATGTTGTGACCGTTAGTTTATATGCCACATTTTGAAGACTTCATGCCTTTCAAGCAATCCGAAAACATGGACATCGACGTAAGCACGTGTATTAGATAAATTACTGTTATACGGAATACCATATTTATTGTGTGACAAAATTAATCTAAAGTAAATGCATGAAACATAATAAGTAAACTGACAAATGTCCAAGTTTGCATTAAATATTCTTGAAAACTTTATTTGATATAGTTTTATAGAGGACGGGAAAATAGATTTAATGTTTCGGTTTTCGGTTACAGGTGTTTGTGAAAACTTGCACAACATATTCCGTTGATTTTTCACTGTCGTAGACCAGAGATGATTTTAAAACATGAAGTCTTGATTTATGTTAATTGTAACGTAAAACCTCACAGCTTAAAATGATTATAGCGTGGAACGTCCTCACAAAGGAAAATATATAATTATATCTGGATCCCTCTAAATTTCCGTCAATCCAGGAAAGTAATTTCATGACAACGTTAAATAAAAATTTATTTGTATAACAGCAAGACGTTTGGAAAACTGTTCTGAAAGCAATGATAATTGTCAAAAAAAAAAAAAAAAAAACATGCAAAAATAACATCTGATGAAATCCATGTCATGCTGCAGAAAAACCAGCACTTACCTTTAAAAAGAGGACATATATTCCAAACGACCATTGGACTTTTCCCAGAGAACTGACCCAGTAACAACTCTAGGTAGTACAGGGGAAATCCACAAGTCACCATGAAGAACGTAAAAGGGATGAGGAATGCGCCTGTAAGTGAAGGACATTTTTATGAATGCTGTCTTTCATCATGCATATGAAATTGTGGACTAACTTCTAAAAAATACCGTATGAAACATTGTTTTATGCCAAGCGCAGTTATACAACAAAGAGAATACCGAGATAATGATAACATATATCTGGCTATGAACAACAATATTGTCTTTAGTTATTTGTTAACATTCCTGTTTGAAGAAGAAAAAAACCCTGTTATTTAGACACAGTAATTAAACTGAGTATATCATTACAATCTCTATTATAACCTGTTTCTAAATGTACTTTAAGTATAAAACGTCTGTCCTGAATGTTTTATGTGGATTTTTCGTAAACAGTTATTTTTTTATTTGTTTGAAAATAAACAAATCCATGACAAATTCTTTTTAACAGTGAAACTGCGGTACAAGCATTCAGAACTTTTTACCGAAAACAATTGCTATGTACACTTTATATGGGTGATTTAATCTGCTATTCATATTAAGTGATTTGCAAGTTGGTCAAATGAAAAGATTTACACTTTATAGTGTATAAGTTTTCCTATCTTATTTCAATTCATATACCCGGTTTTAGAGGACCCCTTCCGACCTTTCTTAATGGTTCACCTCTTTTTAAGAATGAATTTCTATCTTGACAGATCATCTAGCATGACAAAACAGACTACAGCACGTAGACAAAAATACATTAAGTTTTCACGACTCTGTTGTAAACAAATCAGGTAGGCTATGAATGACAAACCTCCGCCATTTTTCATGCATAGGTAGGGAAACCGCCACAAACTGCCAAGTCCGACGGTGTAACCTATTAAGGAAAAGAGATATTCGATCTTCCTCTCCCACACGTCGCGTTCTGGGGACGCATCACCGCTAGGAAATCTCTTCTTTCCATTGCTCAACAAATCAATCTGCACTTCTTCGTGTGAATCTTGCATAGTTCACTGGTTAAGAGAAAACTGAATTTAGATTATCCCAACTGTTTTTGTAAAAAACAAAAACAAAACAAACAAAAACAAAATCAAAGTCATTAACATTATATAACATCTAACTTCACACTTTATGTTTGTGAAAACTATATAGCGAAACAGGCATTTAGCTTATATTCTGAGAATTCTGGCTGGCCCGGATAGAAGCGCACAGTAAGGCTACAAAAGGGAGACAATAATCGTTCTAGGAGAAACTTTATTGCTTCAGCATGTGACGTCACAACTTCTCCCGTTTGATCGGACAATGAAGCCTAAGTCGTCTAAGTGAGCCCCAGATATCTAGGTGAACCTAAGTTTTCTAGGTTACACCTAGCCGTCCGGGAGGAAGACGAGATATTTGCCACTGCGCTACTTAACTTCATCAGCATATATTATGTGAAATGGGTCGTATGTCGATTATTTTGATCATTATATTTGCTATTATTTGAGAGTACTGCTGTTGATTACAGTAAAAACACAGTTACATATCAATATACTTATACCGGAAACATGAAATCAACAAGACTGTTGAGCTAGCTGATCAGTAATAACAAAGGTATTTTATGCCCGCCATGATAGAAGTATTATTAGTTCTATACAAGTAGCATAGTGTCTTTTCTACCCTTCTAACCTCTGACGATATTCCTGCCATTTTGATTTTGAAAACCAGCCCTAAAATGGACAAAGTACAGCTAAGGTTTCATTGAAATCTACGCAAGAAATTTGTGAAACCACAAGAAAATACTAACATGTCAGCTTATCAGAATCCAAATTCAAATTCGATAAATCTAAGGCAAAATATGAAAAAGAAGGGTGTTCCGGAACAGTCGGTGTCATTTGCTTCGTCGACGCCACCCACCTTGTAAATCTTCGTAAAACGATGTAAGTAATAATGTCACATTCTCAAATATGAACAAAACATACAGCAATGGAACCAACAGGCAAACCAACAAGCATCAAACACGTTCGGTTTCATATCATATAAAGAAAAAGAATATTTCACAGTGAGACCAAGACTAAAGTGATAAAGTATGATGGTCAAAATCAAAGATGACCACCTGTGGGATATTTTGTGTTCTTATCAGATGTAAAAAGGACAGCTAACAACTAATAAACAAGTTTTAAAATACAGTTTTTCTTTTATTCTGCTGAATATGCTTTTAAACTTATCAACTGGCATTGAAAGGTGATATTCATTTGTGTCTTTTTAACAGTCTTCAACTCGCAGGTGGTAGGCAGTGTTGATGGACTTTAAGTACTGGCTCTGGTGTATCTTACTCTAAGTAGTATTAAAAGGGGCTATCAACCTGTGTGACGTTTGTATAATCTTTAAGAATTCATGGTATCCATTTATTGAAATTCTCTTGTGGACGTGTTTCGAATCTGATGTCCGAAAAAATCCATTTGAAAATACAGGATAATTAGCTAAATTTAAAGAAAAAGTAATGCATCGAGACCAGAAACAACACTACATAACTACGTTTTCGATAAATCTACAGATCAGGGGAGATAACTAACGATAAGTCACCAATATGTAATGAGAACCCTCTTTCACTTGATACAACGTCAATGTAGACACCTAGCAGTTAGATGTGCTACTCAGGAAATTAAGAGATGACGGTTGATGACAAATATAGGAAAGTGAAATCTTTCCAAGGATTTAGGTTGCCTATTTATAATAAGTATACGAACTTATTGGATTCCTAAACTTCACAAGAATTCTTTTCAGCAACATTTGACAGCTTTGTTGAACATACTAATATTACTATTCTTAGTACTATAAAATCTGGGTTACAGTCTTTTAACGATACTGTTGATTAAAGAAGTTGAATTAATAGTATGTGGACTTTACAGAACTCCAAAGAGCTTTTGACCTATCTCCTATACCCACTTCTAAAAAGTCCTCTATAAGAACAAATTTATAATACCCATTCTGTATACCATCATTCTCCATCCTAAACTACAAACACGCCCACGTTCGCTTGTTATGAGAATATCCTTTCCCAAGGAAGGCGAACGGAGGTTGAAAACTTAATCTATCTTGCAGCGTTTTGGATCGATTTCACGGGGAAAAAAGCTTCGAATAAAAAATTGTTTACTTTACTACAAACTCATCAAAGCATGTTTCCAAGAAACATACTGGACAAACAGAATTCTTAAGTAAAGTATATAGACTATTGAATTTGTTTAAACCCAATATGCATTCACTATAGAACATATGCTGTATGCATTACATGAATGTTTCAAATTAACTAAGATCAGATGACGTCGTTTTATGGAAAATGTCACCCCTGAACAATCATGTTGACTTCCTACCCTTATCCAATATCGTTTTATATATATATAATATCATATATGACATTCGCATTACATCACTGGGTATTATGCAACACAAACATTTAGTTCATTACCAAACAAGATGATCAACATAGGATTGAAAAAAATGTACAGTCATGGGATCCCATGTGCACACGATAGGAAAACAGGACGAAATTAACTATCGCACATTTGTGCGCACGTTATGCTTTTCTATCGCACTGATATGCGATTCTATCATGGTTGATATAAATTTAGAAATCACTGATGTATAAGTGTGGGAAAGCATTTATTGTTTGTTTTTAACATATAAGCTAACAGCTAAGTATATTTCATAATTAGATAATACATATAGATAAATATAAAACAGAAGATGCTTGTCTCGAAGAGTGTATAACATATCATTGGACCACGTGATTTAAAAATATGATTGACAGAACTCGTATATTGTCCTTGTGAGGAGATTGAAATTCAGTAAGAGGAATGCTATGGTTGCAAATGCAAGCATATAACATCGAATATTGTGGCTCTTACGATCGCCATAGTGATCTCATTGACAAATATTTTTGCGATATTAAGCTGGTCGTGTTTGAGGTTCGTTAGATTGCCTTTCGGTTCAGTTGTTGTATGTCTGTTCTCATTTGAGAACGAGGCATTACTTTGTTGGTTTGACCATGATTTACATGACGAGTGTCATCAAAGAAGAAGAAGACCCTTACTCCTTCGGAATGCCTGGTCTTGTTCTCAGTGTACTTTTTCCAGCGTCTCCGTATAAGCCTTTATTTTGTTGATATTTTGCTCTAGTTTTATTGAATTTGAGTCTAGATTCTGACTAAGGTGGTATTTTCTTGTCGTCTCTCATAACATCTTTCAACAGCTGAATACAAATTTGGCATTTACATTGCCTTTGTATGGCAGTTATTCTAACAGATGGACGGTGAAGATTACATAAATTCGAAGAGGTGGTTTTCAGAAAGGGTTTAACAAAGTTTTATGCTCTGTTTGCTACAAATAAATAGTAAACATCCGAACAGGAAGAGGTATCGTAGCCGCAAATAGTCAATTTGTATACAATAGACCATGGAATGTCAACTTCCGTTCTCGAACTAGGCACAATCGACTTTAAACGCGCTATGAATAAAATTAGGCAAAAAAGCTGACAACCGCACTCGGACAAGAGAACAGATATTTCGCACTAACTGCCAACGTTATACAGGGAACGCAAATCCAGATGTGGTTCACTCATTTCATATAATCATAAATGTTGTAGATGTACTAGCAATACATATTAGATGACCTTTATTTTAAACCTTCACACCACCATGTTTTAAGAATAGAGTCACAACAGCTATCATGTACATAGAAGCATGGTTAAACATAATCCAGAGTGTTGTACACAAGACATAAAAATGAATCACGTTTATTACCAAATGTTGTAGTATTATCAAATACAGTTGATGTCATGTCTATTGAAATTCTTCGATGACTTATTTGTATATTTTACAGATAAACCATATAAGAAAATTATTTTAGGACGACGTTATATGATTTCTAAATGTTTATATTTAATATTTCGGTATGAATACTTAACTTATATTTGATGTTATATAAGTATAAAATTATCCACTTTCGTTGATTTCGGTAACAAATTCACAATTCAATTAAAATTGTAAATACCGTAAAGCTTTTGCTGAAGCTAATTGTTGTTAAACGGCGCATGAGGGTATGGGGTAAAAGTATTGATATTCAGAAAAAACAAAAAGTCAACAACACTGTGATAACAGGCATTATACAAACATATGCATGTACAACTAGGAATATTTACTTACAGTTTGTCCTTTGTTGCAATAAATGTTCTTATCACATGTATATTCCACCGTATATATGTGTGTGTGTATATATATAGTCACCCTCTGTACCTGCGACAGATTGAAGACTCCTCCGGTGAGAGCTGTCTGGTATATACGCTGTTTGACATACACTTTGTTAGGATCAAGTTAAGGCTACAAGTACTAGAGACGCGCCCAAGCGTTTCAAGGGAAAAGGCGTGATACATTGGTTACGGGTGAAAGACATATCAGACGACATTCTTAAGTTATTCGTTTGTCGTTTTTTATTTTGTCCTATTCTACCACCCTACTGCTGAACGTACTGAAATTTGATCAGAATATACAGATATGTGGTTCTAACTTAACTGTGTTGCATTATCATTTCTCTATGGTTCGATGAACAGAACTTGTGATCCTTGTGAGTAAAGGTATTCTTCTGTAAGAGTTCGGAGCTAAATTGACTCTATCTACTGCACTTAGCTAATTAATACTAAGATGCTAAATAGCGCTAACATGCAATTTGTTCTCCTCATCACTGTTTTGATTCCAACAAGCATTCTATAACAGTGGTCATTAGGTGAGCTCGACCTTTATAATACAAATTTTACTTGCAATGTACTTGCCTGGAAGGTTAGACGTATATATTAAGACTTCCTGTATGTCACTTAAAGAAAGCAAAAAGAAAACGACAAACAGAAATTTGCTCTCACAGATATATAGAAGTGTATCCGACATAATTTTGTATTATACAGTAGTATGCAGCGTTGCTTTGTATGTGGATATACGAGTCGATACAAGAATTCTTATTTGAAGACGTGTTTTGAA